ACTTGTGCAGGAAGATGTGGAACCCAACAGCAAGGTATTACTGAGGGTGTGAATTCATGAAGATGGCATCTTCCTAACTCAAGTCAAAAGATGGAAAGTACTCTTCACCCCTTTCCACATGACTTAGTTATTTTGATAGCTTGTTCTAAATGAGGGACTTGAGAGAAGCTTTCATAATTTTAAAGTGCAACAAAATAAAACAAATAGGGATGCTCACATGAGTCACATAGACGTTGAAAATAATGCCCTCGATCTTTAGCACTATGAGACCCACGGATTTGCCACCGAACCAGTCTCCATGCTGGAACTGTGAAAGAATACAGCACATATAAAACACAGGGGCAAAACTGAAACAACGAGTACAAATAGGTGTGCCTTGCACTCTTTCCTAAGCATGTTACTCACCATGTATGGGTAGCCATTCACAGAATATTGGTACAAGAAGGTGTCCAGGATCTGATGTTTGGAGAAGATGCAGAGCCCGCTGCCAATCACCCCACTGCAGAAGAACAGACACCAAATCATTATCTTCTCTATGGTGGGTAGACTTTGAGAGTTTGGGACCACACTTTTTGTCAGTGGCCAAAGCTCTGGGGGCGACAACGTCACTGGAAGTGGTGATGGCAAGAATCCCCACTTCTTTCTCTCATTTCTTGGATTAAGAGTACTGAAAGCTTTATGCATTTAATTTATGTGGCTTTTGCAAATAACTGTACCATTATTTGGCAGTTTGCCACCAAATTTTGGCAGGTGGAGTTAATTCTCAGGACTGAAAGTAAAAAGGGGTTTTCATGTCTCTGATTGAGAACATGACTCCATTCCTACCTGCCATATGAATCTAAAGCTGAGCTTTCTGGAATATAACTTTGTGATGGGGAACACAGGTAAAGGTTTCCAGAGAAAAAGCAGCATTTAGAACCTTTGGAATTATTCCCGGCTCTCTGAGAACGGAGTCACATTTTGCAAAACCCCCAGAAATTGAAGCTTGCCATGAACTGGGGTTTCAACAGCTACATATACATTGGATGTACAGGTGACTTTGAGTTACAACAGTTTTTTTAGTGACCATTCAGTTACATTAGCACTGAAAAAGGGACTTATAACCATTTTTCACCATTACGACCACTGCAACATCTCCATGGTTACATGATAGTTGCCATATCCTGGGGTCATATGATCACCTTGTGATCTTCTGAACAGCAAAGTCAATGAGGAAGCCAAATTCACTTAACCACCGTGTTACTAACTTCACAGCTGAAGCCGTTCTATTAATGACTGCAGCAAGAAAAATGTAAAATAGAGCAAATCTCACTTAACAACTGTCTCGCTTAGCAACAGAAATGTTGGGCTCAATTAAGGACTGCCTGTACTGTATATACTTTAAGCCACAATACAACTACATTTTTTGATCACATTTGCAATCACAAGACAATTTATCTGATCCGTATGCCAAAATTTACACGAAGATACTAAGCTGCTCCATGATCAGTTGCATTTAAGTTATACAATGTATATTTTTATCATTCCTTTTGTTTTCTACCATAGCAGATCTGGGGATCTAGTTACACAAGAGTCAATAGGGCTCAAAGTAGTACAGGAAATTCAACCAGTCTCCCAGTGTGATGCGAGTATGACTCAACATCCTGCCACGTTTGCATGTAAGTTATATCCTTAGTAACCAGTAATATCTCCAAGTTCATCGGCCTCACTGTCAAGAACAAGTAGCATAACAGGTCCCAATTGAGACCACATCCCATTAAAGCAAATCTGCAGGCTGTTCAACTAACCTGCCACACCTAGTAGGCAGGGACTACTAAAGATACACAAGTCAGTTGAAAAGCAAAAGACAATCATTGTTAGGAAGCTAAGTCCAACAATCTTTAGGTACAGTCTAGAACACATATTTTTGCAGAAAACTTCTGGAAAAGACTTTTCAATCTCTGTGGCAGCCCAACATAGCTCTTTGTTTAGAACAGTGTTTCTCAACCTTGACAATTTTAAGGCATGTGGACTTCAACTCCCAGAATTCCACAGCCAGCAATGCTGGCTGTGGAATTCTGGGAGTTGAAGTCCACATGCCTTAAAATTGTCAAGGTTGAGAAACACTGGTTTAGAAGCTTTCAACCACCTTCTCCCAACTGGTATCTTTCAGCTGAGAGACAGTGACTGGTTCAAGATCAACCAGCTGGCTTCATGTGCCTAAGGTGGGGCTAGAACTCGGTTTAATGGTTTGTAGACTTGTACCTCACCCACTACACCCAACTGATTCCATTTATATATCCTCAATAAAGCTGAACTATTCAAGGACTTTTCCCTGTCCTTGTTTGGGAGAAGTAGAGTTGGATCAATTTAAAAAAACTGTATTATGCTAATTTTAAGATTTAGACTACAATTGTGTATGATTGCCATAAAATCATACCAGTGTTGTTGAGTGCCATGATCAATGGAGGCTCTAGGATCCTCAAGACCCAATGTGCCAACTTTTGTCTTTACCTACTTTTAAGTCTAATCATACTTTGTCTAGTTAGACAGACAAATCCAGTCAATTTTAAGATGGAACAACAACAAAAAAGCTTGTGTTATCTTTCAGTCATGGATGCAAATTGAAACTGTGTTCTTCTTGAAATTAAAATCTTGCAAAAACTTTGGTGATACACCCTAAACAGAACAATGACTGTAATCTGCTTTCTAGAGATGGTAGAAGGCAATCAAATATATTTTGAGCACCAGATTGGGGAATGCTACCTGGACAAAGTGATAGCATGATAGCAATAGCATTTAGACATATACCCCTTCATAGTGCTTTACAGCACTCTCTAAGCAGTTTACAGAGTCAGCATATTGCCCCCAACAATCTGGTCCTCATTTTATCAACCTCAGAAGGACGGAAGGCTGAGTCAACCTTGAGCCAGTGAAGATTGAATTCTTGGCAGTGGGCAGAGTTTGCTTGCAATCCTGCATTCTAACCACTGCCCCACCAGGGCTCCTGATTCTGAACTAGGAAGGCTTTTTCTGCCTTATTAAGTAGTGTCAACTGGATATCTATGCCTTTCAGAAGTTAAACAAAAGAAAACTTAAGAGATTACCTGAACTTCATTTTTACCTTTTGAAGTAGTGGGAAGAAGGATAGTGGGTACACAGTTTCTTTTGCAGCACAAGATAATCTTTTTCACTCCATACCTGAAAAGCAAAATGCTATCACCACAGTGACTGTGAAAAAAGTAACAAAATGGCATGTTGATCTGGGGACCAAGGTCCCTAAGCTTATCTTCAATTAATTGCCAGTCCCAAAATAACTCTCTTCCATTTGTTATGTTTTTCTGCAACTGTGCAGAGTCCTTTAAGATTTCTCTAGAGCACGGCAAGAAGGCCTCTGCTGATCTGTGTAACAACAAATAGGCACACCCTTCCAGTGGCTGAATTTACCCATCACACTAAGCCATAATGTCATTTGTTGAGTTTGGGCTTATGACTAGTACTGTATGAAACAGGACATGATATTTTCTTCAACAAAACAAACCATGCTTTTAACATCATGTATGAAAATGTAATATGTCACCAGATGAAGTAGGATTAAAATCCCACTTTTTGTTCTAACAAGATCCATTCCAGAATGTGAAATCTTCACCTCCTGTAAGAGTGCCAGGTCAAATCCCTCCTGGTTAAGGACATCCCCAATCAATGCAACACGCTCTCGCCGTAATTTGCTCAGGTAACAAATGGCCCTAGACAAGGTGAAAAGGAAAGGGAGAGGAGTGAGGATCACCATTGTGAGAGATTGGAATAAGAATTCACAATGAATCAATTTGTATGTTTGCTTATACAAAAGTATTATTATTGCATGTTCCTTTAACTTCATATGTGTCTCCCTCTGTTCAACTCATGTAACATCCTTCCTAATCTGTGCCTGGTCCCAGAGTGCATGCTTGTGGGGACACAGGACTCAGGGACATGGGTTACCAAAGATACTTCTTCCTGCTGTAAAATGCAGGTCAGCTTGTTAGAATAACTATTAAGGCCTTGACTGAACTTAACATATCAAATCTGTTTTACTGCATTTCTAGAAATGTGCCTATAATGTATTCACACCCAAAGATTGGTATGCTTGTGGTTATCTTGTTTCCCAATTGCTGGTAAAGCATTTACTTATTTATTTGGATATGCACATGTGCGTGTGCATATCCAAAGTGCTTACTTCTACTAATATGTGCACATGCTCAAACTATTTTTAATCAGCTTACTAAATAAGATTAATTTTATCCCTGTAATACCACCCTAACAAAGTAAATTGAACTGAAACTAGCCAGATGGCCCAAAGCCATCTCAGTTCATTCCCAATACTTCAACCATCAGATGGAGCTATTTTTGCCTGGACCATAGTAAAGGAGATAGTTAATGTCATTATCCATTGCAATCCCTTTAAATATAAATATACTGTACAGTATAAAAATATACAGTGTCACCAATTTATGCATATACACTTAAGATCGATCCCTATTAAGAAACATTAAAATGTCTAGAAGCATTGAATAAAAACAGCCCAGTGGACCTTATTTGAGGACTAAATCCCACCATCAAGACAGGGAAAATTAGGGAGCTTTCAGAAAATAAAGGATAGCTCCTAGAAATAGATCAATAAAAACCTCAGTGGCCAAACCAAAAAGATGAAGATTCGATTAGATTAACAATGTTGAATGATATTTAATTCCTTTGTGTGTCTTTTCAGAATTATGAAAACACGCAGATATACCTAACGCTGGGAGCTGTTTTCCTAAATTCAAGTTCAAGGGATTAATCTTATTATGGCCAAAACCCTGGCTCACCTAAAGCAACCCAATCACTTTGATGCAGCAAAAATTTTAACATACAGTATATATTGGGCTCCCAGCAAATCCTTGACACTTTGCTGAGCAACCATGGCAAAGGAGAACCATAGTTTATATAACCTTGTCCTACTACATTGCAAAGGCAAGATAAAGAAATAAAGGCACACACAGTGGAAATTACAGCATGATGTTAGAATGTTTTTGATAAAACCCATCCACGTGATCTTAGTACTATCTACATATTCCGATTAGAGCATGCTAGCTATACAATCTTTGAGAGATGGTCAGTGACTATAAACAGTTTGGTTTATTGGGCCGCAGGTTCCTGACTGACTCTTCCCCTTCTTGCCATTTAGGATCAATTCAGGTTGATGTCAATGCATTTAAAGCAGTTAATGTGTGTGTGGGGGGGGGAAGGGGCATCTTACAGGTTTGATTGTAAGGGGGGAGTATCTTTTACCACTACATTCTACAAACGTGCTATATGTGCTAAAGATTTGCTGACGCTCATGCATTTTCTAAAAGTACACCTCTATCCTTCCCTCCAAATGCTATCTGTTTAAATGCATAATAGCAAATAACATTTCCTAAATATCAGAAAGCCAGCATGTTGAGCCAGTTTAGTGTAGTGGTTAAGGTGCTGGCTTAAAACCAGGAGACTGTGAGTTCTAGTGCCACTTTAGGCATGAAACCTATCCAAGTGACTTTGGGCCAGTCACTCTCTCTCAGGCCAATTTACCTCCCAGAGTTATTGTGGAGAAAATGGAAGGAGGAAGGCATATCATGTATGTTAACCTTCTTGAGTTACTTATAAAGTAATAATGGTAGGATTTCTTAAAAAGAATCTTAAAAAAAAGCAAACCATAGGATGAAATGGAACAACAAATGGAAGAATGAGACCTGGCCTATACCTGCAGTAGAAGGAAAGTCAAGAATCCTGGTATGTTAAAAGAGATTTTGAATTTTTAAAGTAGAACTAGGACACTGATAATGTTTTAAAACACAGTGTTTTATGAAAACATATTTTTTAGAAGTCACTATTCTCTGTAATACACAAGCATATTTTTTTTGTATTTACAACAAATGTATTATAGGGAACAGGAACAAAAATAGAATCCTGCCCCAATCCCATGATGAGCAATTAAATTTTACCGTTCAGCTATATTTGCAAGCTAGATCAGCACTGGAATCTGAACTTTCCTCAACAGAGGGATGAAATGCCTTAAGTCTCTGGAAAAAAAACCACCTCTCTGAATATTATTTTTTTGTTCTGTAAATAGTAGAAAAGGGATTCATAGGCTGGAGCTACTAATACAACATGGATCAGTTACTCCATCTTATCTTGGAAAGTGTAATAATAATTTTTCAAGCAAGTGATCTAGCACCTAGCACAGAAATGAAGTCAGCTGATAAAATGTATGCTACTTAAACTGTAAAGATAATAAAAACTAAGAAAACCTTAAGAGAATTATATTGTTTAAAGCAGTTTAGCTGCCTAATGGAGAATTAAAGTTGAACTATCACAACTGCAGGCATAATCAATCATTCTTGCCCCAAATATCAGGAGAGTTGTATTTGTAGACCTTTTCAAATATGCATTATTGTAGATAATAATAATAATAATAATAATAATAATAATAATAATAATAATAATAATAATAATAATAATAATAATAATAATAATAATAATGTTGGAAGGGACCTTGGAGGTCATCTAGTCTAACCCCCTGCTCAGGCAGGAAACACTATACCATTTCAGACAAATGGCTGCCCAGTCTCTTCTTAAAAACCTCCAGTGTTGGAGCATTCACCACTTCTGGAGGCAGGTTGTTCCATTGGTTAATTGTTCTAACTGTCAGGACGTTTCTCCTTAGTTCTATTTTGCTTCTCTCCTTTTTACCCATTTCTCTCCTAAATTTTAACCCACATCTCCATCATTTTGGCAAAGCTGCCCATACAACCAAAACTCTATTGTAACTATTATAAAATTGTAACTAAGAACTTGTGGTCCAGAAAGCAGAACAGGAAGAAAAAAGAAGCCAATAGCATTCAAGGAATATTTAACACCACCACCACCACACACTAAAATCCCAAAACATAAAGACAGGGCATCTGATAGCCTGCTTTGGGATAAAAACCATAAGCCCCAAGGAGGAAAAAACCCACATGCCACAGTTTTCAAAGTAATGAGTACGATTCAGAACTCTTGATAATATATTAGAAATAAGTCATAGTGAAAAAAGCTGTTCAGGTCAAAGATGCCCCAAACAAATGAAAAAGATAAACTCACCAGCAATTGAGGTCAAAGATACGAAGCTGCATTTGAGAACCCTCCATTGCTGTGGATGTAAGACAATGTAGAGGTGAATTCCAATCAAAATTTAACACAATGAGAAGTTCCGTTTCAACCTTTTGAGCAACCTGGGACTTAAGCTTGACCTTTCCCCCCTGCCAGAAGAACAGGAATTGTAGCTAAGAACTATGGTTTAGGGACTTTCAAGCAAGGTAAAGGCGGGGTGGGGCAGCTGATGGAACTGATTCACAGCTAGGAGCGTAAGGTTTGATGTACAAAGACAGAGGAAGCCTCTATGATAAACCCTTTGTCATCACTTGAATATTTCTATCTCTTTAATTAGTGAAAAGCAGTCAAGAAATGTTCATGAATACTAAAAAGCTTTTGAAATCTATAGCTGAGCAATACATTTTTAACCATTAACCAAAATATGCAAGCTTTCAAGTTCTCCAGGACTATGCACTATGGAAGAGAACTCAAAAGCTTGCACACTGTTGTGACATTTTAGTGGGTCAAAATAAAGGAAATGCCCAACTATGGTACAACTATCCAAGTGAAGTAGATCAAAGTCATCCTCCCTTTTACCTGATACCCCTTAGATATGGTAGATATAAATTCCCATAATTCCTAGATAAATGGCCAGTAGCTGAAATTGATGACAGTCGGCAAATTATGGAAAGTTGTTCTAGATATTACATCCACTCACTGTGCCAAACATTTTTTTCTGACTTTTGAGTTAGCATTTTTGAGTTCACTGCCAGAGCCACACAAAATGGTGGTGGTAAATCTTATACTGTACTGTATGAGTTTTAAACAGGAAATAGCAACTATATTTTGAATATGTGCATATCTCCATTTTTGTATAATTTGTGATAGTTATGCAGTTTTGGCCATCATATGTTTCCTGCTACTAGCCTTGTTTTTTTAATTGGCATTTTGCTTCCTAGCTGTTTTGTGTCAGAAATTGCTGAACTCTACCCTAAATTTGCTGTAAATGTCCATTCCTAAGTTTGGAAGGCTTTCTCCCATTGATTGGTAGTGAGACATTTATTCCAATTTTCTTAGAGAGCTCACAAAGATTGTTATGTAGACATGTGGATCAGTTTGGGTGACAAATTTGTTCAGCCTTGGGTTGGGTTCATATTATTGCACAAACCTATAACAGGATGTGCTTATTTGTGGCTAATACAGTGTACAATACTAAAAACATCTGAAATGACTCTCACATTAAAACATTATGATTTGACAACTAATGAACAAATCTGTCAGTCACTTTCTTGTCTCAATTACACAAAAGCCTCTTTCCAACAAAGAACTACAATTTAACTTTAACACAGAATAACATAGAATAACAGAGTTGGAAGGGACCTGGAGGTCTTCTAGTCCAACCATCTGCTGAGGCAGGAAACCCTATACCATTTCAGACAAATGATTGCCCAATTTCTTTAAAACTTTCAGTGTTGGACCATTCACAACTTCTGGAGGCAAGTTGTTCCACTGATTAATTGTTCTAACTGCCAGGAAATTTCTCCTTAGTTCTAGATTGCTTCTCTCTTTGGTTAGTTTCCATCTGTTGCTTCTTGTCCTGCCTTCAGGTACTTTAGAGAATAGCTTGACTCCCTCTTCTTTGTTTCAACCTCTGAGATATTGGAACACTGTTATCATGTCACCTCTAGTCCTTCTTTTCATTAAACTAGACATACCCAATTCTAGCAACCGTTTTTTATATGTTTTAGCCTCCAGTTCCCTAACCATCTTTGTTGCTCTTCTCTGCATTCCTTATTCCGTGACCTTTACAAAATTACATATTTTATGGAGCTTGGCTTTGCTACCTGAATAAACTTCATTATGGTGATTCTTCATTATATGGCAACAAGACTGAAATTACTACATAATGATATTAATGTACTATCAAAGGATTATGATATTGCTAAAATACAATTTCACAGATTTAGTGAATATTGAATAGGAAACCACAAACTGATCAAACATATCCTACAACATGTACACATGCTAGGAAGCTAGCTTAGCTGTCTAGCATATCCCTTTTTCACACATAGATTACTGTGGTATAATTGATGTGTAGGCTATTTATGCAATATCCTACATGACTTACAGGAAATCAGTCTTGCAGCACGAATCATAAAAAATAAATGGAAGATTAAGAAAGTGAACTACAAAATAGTAAAATGCTTACTATACAATTATAAATGTTTTTATAGTGATTGCTTTGTCTGAAAGTGGGAGAGACATTCTTAGAGAACCATTGTGTTTGTAGATTCAGTATTAGCTTTTCTTAATTTTTCCCTCAGGTAAAAAACAGTGTGAGATGGTATTGACAACTCTTCCTTCCCTCAAATCTGTACATTAAATGATAACTTGAAACAAGATGTTTTCAAGAAGAAACTTTTGATATTATGGTGTGATGACAATGCCAGCAAAATACAAGACTATGACTGTCAATCTATGAAAAAACAGACTTGACTCAAATTCTACAGACACAACAAAGAACTATATAGCAATAATACATTCACAAAATTCAGAAATTAACTGTTATTCCTTTTCACAGTATCGGGCAGAAACAGTAAACATTCTATTATATTATTCTCTTATGAGTTCCCAACATTACAATTCAAGAATAAAACAATACCGCTTCACTTTAGTAAATGTTGCTGAACAACTTACTTCCAGCATCAACCATTCTGATTAATGGTTTTAGTTAAACATTTAGAATTTATCTTCCCCATCCCTGACCAAGACATTTAGTCTGATTTGTCTTGTAGGGAGACCAGAGATTCAAAAATGCACTCTATAAGCTCACCAAGGTTTGCTCCTCTGCATTGTTTAATAAACGTGTGCATAGACAGAAGTTTACTATAGTTGTTTTACCTTTTGCTGTCCAAGTCTAATGGACCTTTATCTTCATCATGATGTCATTCAGTGCACCAGTTAAACTATTGAATCAAAAAACTTTTGGGGACTTTTGAGGCAAAAAACCAAGTCTTTTTCTCATGTTCTGCATTGCCTAAGGAAGCTTTAACATCCATTCTGAGCAAATTTGGGAAGGGTTAAGGTTAGGGTTAGGGTTGGGAGACAGTGCAGAACAGAGAGGCTCATTTCCCACCCCACTGAACATTTCCAAAGACCTTAACAAAACAATTACCAGGAAGGGAACTGTGTGTGTCCTCTTTTCGCTGGAAGAGAATGCTTAGTCGCTAAATCAGATTAAACAAATTCGGCCACACTGAATTCACATTAAGCCTCTTTTTTTTCCATCTGACGTTCAATGCACGACAATATCAACACGCTAACCATTCCCAGCACTGTATTTTGCCCAAGAAACGTTTTAAACAGAGTTATAGCAGTCAGAGTGTCTTCGACTTCAATCCTGATCGATTTTAAAACAGAAAGAAAAGGCTGCCAAGCATTCCACCTTAACAGGTATCAGTCTTCTATTTCAATATATGTGTGTGTGTAAGGGGGGGGAAGAGCCAGGGGGCAAGAGCAAGGAGTGTCCCAGTTTCGGAGCAGCTTTCAAGCAAATACTACAACTGCTGCTTGTGACAGCAAGAGAAAGAGGAAGGAAGAGAGAAAAGCTAGAACAAACAGTGCAAACGATATAGGACCCCGAAAGAGCTTGGAAAGCCGGTGCATACCTGGGATTTCTATCACAATCGAGCCCACCTCCAATTTTCACTCCCTGCCCTCCATTATTCGCGCGAAGACCGTCCGGGCTGCAGCAAAGCAGCGACAACTAAAGCGGGGAAGCAGCGCTTAACTGTGCGGCGCGCAGTGCATCTCGGGTCTTGTAGGCCTTCGTTCATGTCATCATAATTTGTGTTTAAACCCACTTCCCTCCCCTCGCGGACTGAAAAAGGCGTGGGGAGACGCCGCTGGGTGGAAAAGAGAGAAGCGGAACTCGGAAGGGGGAGATGGGTGGCAAAGTAACCTTTCGAGCTTGTATCCACTTTCCTCCGAGTAAGCTCAGTTTAGCGCAACAAGTTTTTTTTCCCCCTTTCAAAAAAAGGAAGGCACTTGAAGTGCAAATTAGAAGTGCTGAAGGTTTTTGGCATAGTTAATGATTTTAAGGACTGTTTCAAGATAGAAAAAATTAAACTTTGCATTTCTTCATGTGTACACAAAAACTCCAGTAAGCCATTTGTGCAGATTTTTTACCTTATGAACACAATCCCTGAGTTAACCCAATTTAAAAATCCAATACATCATTTAGATTTTTGCTTTTGTTTTTGACCTTAGAAAAAATACACTGGACAACCATTTTTTTTAAAAAAAGTTTTGCTTCCTGAAAAACGTCTGGTGATTATGAAAGACCCTTTTAAACTGAACACAAATATATTTTCAGAATGACTATATCATGTTGGAATCTTCAGAAATATAAAATTAACTTTTAATGACTATAATATATACTGCTCACAAAAATAAAGGGTACGCAAACCCCTTCAGTTCCATGGTAAAATGTTCCCTTTATTTTTTTGAGCAGTATATTTATTTGCATAATGTTCCTGAAATGCTGCATGAGTTCAACAGGACTATATATGTTTTGCTGCTGATTTTTGTCCAATGCTTCTCACTGCAGTGTCCAGCAATAGTTAGCCAGCATTGATGGATTCCATTTGCCCTGATAGCATTTTTCCATTGTGTCAATGTCCTAGTGAAACGTTTTACCATGTACGTCATTAACTGAACCTAGAAAGAAGTCCAAGTATGAATGCAGAACATCAATCTTCAGTGACATGTTGCACTTCATGATCTTGCATGTTGTAAGAAATTTGTCGTCTAATTGAATGTAGTTTGGTTCTCTGTAGCTGCCAAGAAAATTCTCCCCTACATCTTTGAATGCTGTCAGGTGATTTTCTTCGGTCTCACTAACAGATCTTCAAACTGGTGACTTTTCTGATCAGTGGACCAACAAAAATGCTTACCTTAAGCTTAGCATCAGTTATTCTTGAACACATCTATCTCAAATAACAAAAACCTTCATCTTCCTTGTTCATCATTTTCACAAAAATTTCCATCACTCTGAGTTTGATGTGATAAGGAGGCAAAAAATACCTTTGTTGGGTGAAACAAGTGGTTCATGTATCATGTTTTTCTTTCCTGGAACCAAATTCAGAGCGGTCAGTTCTTTTTAATATAATGCAACTCTCTTACACTGCTGACCCACTTGCAACAACAGTACTTGGTATATCTGTCTATATTCCAAGCAGCAGAGCCACGCCACAGATATTCCAGTTGTACTTGGTGTAATGGATGTGCTTCCACAACAGCCACATGTTTTGCATACTTCACATGTGCAGTGTGGCCAACAGATACTGAAGGGTATACATTGCAAAACAGAAGATTTTTTTTAATGAAATGGTATGTGATGGGTTAAATTATTTTCATGATAAGCAGCCAAAATCTATAAGATATACCGTAAGTGTTCAGGAAGCAAAATCCAGTGATATTAGTGGTAAAATCTATTTCTAGTTGTCTAATGTTTTTCAACTTCTATAACTTTATGATGTGTGAACTTCAACTTCAACTCAGTATCTTAAAGTTGCTACGGCTGAGAAAACACTTGTCTAAATCTATAAATGATTAGCTTCCTAATGGCTCCTGTTTAAGGCATCAGTGGAGCCAAAAGAAATTTCTTTGGGTGCTTCCTCACCTGCCCTGAGTTAGGCATGAACATGTCCAGATACCCACAGGTTTGCTTATGCATTGCTTTGTCACATTCCCAGCCCAGAGCTGAAACCTCTTAAAGTCATCTGTGATTATCCCAATATTCCAGTCGCGTGCCTCTTCATGCACGCTGGCTGAGGAATTCTGGGAGTTGAAGTCCACAAGTCATAAAAGGGTCAAGTTTGAAGACCCCTGGAGTAGGGCTTCAATCACAAAGTTGTGGCTGTCTTCTGGACTTTTCTGATGACCCCAGCAGATGTACCTCTTGGGAGGGAAATAGAGCCAAGAGAATCTATGGATTGCTTTGCTTATCTTGGCTTGTATTAAAATAGAAAGGACAACATTATTCATTAGCCTTGTTGCTGGGGCAGAGGAGAACTCAGAGTAGTGGGATTATGCCAACATACATTTCTGTCAGTATAAAAACTGCTAGGTAGCACTTTAACATGGTTGTCTAGCTATTCCTATGCTAATTTCACTGTAAAGAAGTGTTAGAAGTAAGTCTTCATCCTGATTCATCCAAGCCAGGAATAAATAAGCAAACATGGCGACTGCTTTGGGAAGAAGGTTACAGTTTATTACAGAAGAAAGATGGTCCTTGCAAGAAGGAGCAGAGCTCTTCTTTCTCTCTCTCGTGTACCCATCTTCCAAAAAATATGGGGGAGATCGGGACAAACCTTATCAAAGGACAAGGACACCGTACTTGAAACTCCTATAAAGACTCACAAAAAGATCCGGAACTATAGACACCAAATTAGGATAATAGTATAGGACGAAGGGAGGTGATGGGGCTAATGACTCCTAGAGTTTGGGTGCGGCATGCAGTTTTTCTCTTTGTCTTCTTGATTGCTCTGGCTTCAACTTTCTAATGGTTTTACATCTGCATTTGTATGGGGTTAGGTCTTGCTTGGGGCAGAGAGATTTGGAGCCAAAGTTGGTTTCTGCTTTTTAAAATACTTTTGAGGAAATATATATTTCTGCCCTTTTAATATTTCCTTCTCTGGGGCTCTGACTTCCCACAGAAGCAACAAGGATCCATTTGTGTCATTGCTTTATTTATCATGAATCAGAAATATTTTTCTTATCATACTTCAGAAACAATACTGCATATTCTTATCACCATTTTTTCTCTTCTTCCTTTTTCTCTTACAATACTATATATACACTTACTATATACAGTTCTTTTCACTGAAATTATATCATGTACATTTATCTTATACCATAAAAACCACAACTTTCAAAACTGGCCTATTATTTCATAATAAAATAATAAACTGTACTTACATAATAATACTTGTGAAATATTTCACAATAATAGGATTAAAGTGAATAAAATTTCAAGATAAACATTTATAAGAGCCATTTTATCACATTGATTTTATTGCTTTATTTAATTTATGAATCTGGCATAATAAAATAAAAGCTAAAACCAAGAACATAACATGAAAATAGCTAGGAATCAAAGGTAAGCTCTACCACTTATAGCTTCCCTGGGTGTGCCAAGAATTGCAGTGAGTGTTGAATATAATCAATCCAAATATAACTCAGTTGTATTTTGTGATTGTTTTTCTATCAGTGTCATCTTGACATTTCTGTGTTATCTTCCCAAGGTATAGAAAAGAATACCTTAATTAAGCATGAGAACTGAATGAAAGCCAGGATTGCCAAATAACTGTTGACCTTAGGCTTTCCATAACATACTGTTGAACCAAATTGCTTTTTTTAAAATCTCAACTGTTTATTAGAACATCAAAAAAGCAGAACTTCTATTAGGAGCAATCCAGTGAAGTGTTGCAAACTATTGCTAAATTATTATTTGTCTGAGACGGTATATAGGTTCTCTTACTTGAGTGGGGGGCTAGAAGACCTCCAAAGTCCCTTCCAGCTCTATTCTATTCTAAAATGTCTGTTGGAGGCTTTATCACTATATATGTCATTATATTTCATTATTTTTGGATTACATTTATTTATTTATTTATTTATTTATTTATTTGTTTGTTTGTTTATTTATTTATGATGAGTTGATTAAAGAGCAGAATCAGTACTGGAATTATTGTATGAATGTATTGAAGTAAGGATAATGGTATAATGCAATTAAGTTAGATTTCCTTTTTCTTTCATTTCTGGTCTTTACTCTGTTTGACTTTCTACTTATTTTGCTTTCCTGTGTTTTGCCAGTTGCTTATCCCAAAGCTGATTTGCAGGATGGGTATATATATGTCAAATTAAGAGCATAAACAAAACCATGACTTGAAACTTATTGCATTTACCTGAATCGAAGCTAATGTCACTAATGACCATTCAAAATATGGAGAGAGCTGTCCCTCTAAGGATGATTTATTTTGCTCCTCATTTTGAAAAGAGTATGTGGTATGATGGATATCAATTTTAACAATAGGTGCACTTCACTTTGTAGTGCTACATGTAAGAGGAGTTTCATTAAAGCCTCATCAAAGCAGAGCATTTTTTGCAAAGCTTTGTGCAGACCATGTTTTCTACAATCTTAGTAGAAAGGAATCCGTCGTCATCAGCAGCCATTCAGTCATGTCTGACCTTGGCCACTCTATGGATCAGCACACTCCATGTCCCTGTGTCTTGCACTGCCTTCTTCTGATCTGCTATGGCCATCTTAGTGTCATCTTTTATAGTGTCCAGCCAGCGGATGCTAGGGTGGTCCCTTCTCCTTTTTCCGCTGATCACTCCCAGCATGACTGACTTTTTGAGTGAGTCAGCTCTCGTGATATGACCAAAGTATGACAGCCTCTGTTTGGCAATCTTGACCTTAAGCGAGGTTATGCATTCCATGGGATGCGTAATAGTCACCGCTAGTACCACAGTTCAAAGGCGTCCACCTTCATGTCAGACATTGCAGTTCTTCTAAGGCAGGCATGTCAAACTGCCGGCCCACGGGCCGGATGCATCATACTGAAAATACGCCCACCCCATTGCCGGCAATGGGGAAAAAGTCACGATACATCGTAAGACGTCACATGATGTCGCGAGTTTGACATGCCTGTTCTAAGGGCTATACGCCTTCTGATTTAAGGGCAGCAAAAAGGGACTGGATTTACTTATGACTTGGGAATGCAG